TAAATGTTAATTTAAATATTTTAATAATATAAATACTTTGTACTTACTAATTCAACTATTTTTACTTCCAGTTTTCCAGGAGCCGCTCTGCGATTGGACACATTTCGTCTGCGATATTTCAACTAGTCCCAACGTTGCGGGCAAAGGGCCAAGCTGTCGGACACAAATTGAGAGAGACAGATGTTATGCGAGAGAATTCGACTGCTTGGTAATTATGGGCTTTATGTTAATTTATATTGTAGTTAGCTGTCTGACTGAACTGCAAAGACAAATTTCACTTGGGAGTATCTTGAAAGCAACAAGTTACTTTGCTGAGTATTTATCTTTTATTAATCTTATATTAATCTAGTACTCTTTTCAGATTCCTTTAGCGTATTTAATACTTCATTTCGTGGTTATTTTACTGGGTTCAAAGTAAGTAACTTAATTTAAATACTCTTTTTATTGTTATTTCGTGCAAGTCTGGATGTGGGAATTACCTACCATCGAACTGGCGTGCGGCCATGCAGTCAGTAGATAAAGACTCCAGGCTGGGACGCAGTGTTCTGCATTGGATGAATTGCTCCTAAGTAGTGCTCAACAAGTCTCTCAATATGTATGAGAGCAGACTGACCTTTAGCACTGTAAACATCGATCTTCTCCAATTTGCTTTGATTCTGCTGCGGCGATTTCTGCTCACGGTCGGGTGTGTTGTGCGGGTAAGCTATTCTCTAGCATAAAACCTATACTCGTAAGCGAAATTATAAAAGTGGAAAGGTATATAGTTGAAGACATTGGATGAAGATATGAATGTAAAAAATACAAAACTTAGCTATCTTGCGTCTTTTACTAGGTCTTTTCCTTGTCTAAGACATTCTAATTGGGTCAAAGCACGTGAGAGTACAAGTGAAGTCTCTCGTTAGCTCGCCTCCCAAACTGCTTTAAATCACTGTTTCAAATATGACTGAGAGTAATCTTGCTGCGTGATGGACACGTGACATGTGGGAGGGTCGGTTATACGGGTTCGTAGCATTTGCTGCGTTAAGGAGGCGTGGCGTTGGCTGTGTGAATGTGTGCCAACTCGGTGGACGTCGTGTGAGAGGGCTGCATATAAAACATAATGTGAAGAAAATATTTTCAGCTGCGTTTGAGACGTGTGTGTATGTCCCTTGTACCCTTTGTCGTCCGTCGTCTCCGTTTAGAATACTTTCTAATGTTAACCAGCTCGCCCGTTTATTAACCTTCTCTTCTCAATGATCTGTTTACCTTCACGATTGCGCAATCGAGCTGCGAGATTTCGGCTTCTTTTTGTATCTAGTTAGGTTTACTTCATCTGGTGTCGCCAGAACCCAATTTTTTTAGACACCATGTGTAATGGCGGAGTACCCAACGCAACAGGAGCTTTGTAATATTCGGCATCTTTCTTCTTCATTGCGACTGACACGATTGAAACAACCCTGTGATGCGCTTCTTACGCGGCACGCACCCCTTGGTGATCGCATATTGCAGCGAATCTTCTAGAAAAGCATGGTGGGCTAAACCTCTTCAATACATTCAGAAGATTGTATTTGCGTATCTTCTTCATAGTCGAATCTGAAGGTCTCCCAAAGAGAAAGTCGCGGCTCTGGCGCCACGTGGTGGCGATCCTGTTGGCATGGCTCGTAAGCAGATGCATCAGCTCCCTGGAATCCGGTTTCTTCGCACGCGCACGCCTGGCGTGAGCACACGCGCGCATATTTACATATTGCGCATAAGCATGTGGACGCGGGTGGATCTTGTTGTTTTAAGCACCATGGCGAAGAACACACTGTCGTACTTTCTGAAGTGTACAATGGGCTTCATGCGCATAAAACCCCGAGGGGCGGGTATGTACTAAACCCTATTTTCATATTGTCCACGTTCAACCTGGTGTTGCACAAATTGCTGCAATTACTTGGTTATAAAACTCAGTAATTTCATCGTCGACCATAACAGCCATGCAATATACACTGTGTTTTCCTAAATGCGAGATGGCTTAGACAGTCACTGACCATAACTAGTAAAGAGACGTTTGTAATAAATATACATTCTGTGTATTTTAAACAGCGAAATTCTATATGCATTTGCCTGTAATGTGTAGTGATAAACTCAATTCATCTAATGTGCAAATTGCTCGCATAGTCGTGTCCACATTCTGACCTTTTTAGTGGATATTCCGCTGTGCTGAAGGCTGACTTGTTGCACGTAATGAGTTACAAGTAACTGAATACTTGTAATCAATTACATTTTGTTGTAACCTTTTTAACGCTTCAGTCAGGCACGTAGCATGTGGGGGGGCCCATGGGGCCCGCCCCCCCCCCCCCCCCCCCCCCGAAATCTTCCATTTTGCTGGGATCTCCTCTCCCCCCTCCCCCTCATACAGCATTTTGTCATGAGCGCCCCCCCCCCCCCCCCCTCCGAACCAAAATCCTGGCTACGTGCATGGCTTCAGTTACTTTTTTTAGAAAAACTTTCGCTGTAGATCAACTACTAATTTTCTCTAATCAATTATAACTAATCAATTATATGGTTCCGAAAGAGCTTAACTATTGAGTTGATTTTTTTCGTAAAAATTGCTCTCTCTCTCCGTGCGTAACTTGTCTATGTTACACCAACTTTAGACACTTTTTTACCCCAAAACAACTAAAGAAAGATACCGAAGATACCATAAGGATTGGAATATCAACGCGCTCAACGACGTTTTAAATGTAGAGATGTCGACAGTGCCTCGTTTCCTGTGTACGGGTTGTTACGATCCTGGTTTGCCGCGGATGAGACGGCTGTGTTCTGCACTGACCTCATCCAGCCACGCCAACCCTCATTCCATCGATTCCATCTTTTTGAGATGGAAGGGGGGGGGGGGGGGGGGGGGGGGGGGAGGGGGCATTCCACCTCGAAAATGTACAACAAGAAACAAAATGTAACGAACATACGTATGCATTTTTGATTTCGTCAGATAAAATTAAAAAATGTAACCTAAAAAGTAATCAATTACATTCTGGTAATTTTCGAATTATTTTTGTGATGCAGTAATTCATTACTATATTCAGTTATATTTTTCAATTAAGTATTTGTAAATATAATCGGTTACCTTTCTTTTTAGTGGCGCGTACAAGACTGACTGCAGGTACTCGCTTTTTAGACGATACGTCACTATAATGCGAATAGCATAACGTCCTTCTAATTTTAATGTAGTCCCTCTAATTCTATTCCTTGGAGTATGCCGCCCGCTTTTTCGCACGGTGCTTGTTTCCTGCAGCGACTTTGTATTTTGGGTCGAATGGCCACCATATATTGTCAAGTGCAAGAATGCAATTTTATCTCTCCGTTACTGACACTTAATAACGATACGATACACGCTGAAATGCGAATGAGCTGTATCTGTATCGTTATCGGAAAGCAAAGAAGTACGTACGATAACTTTATAAGGCATCCTTTTTATTTTTATGAACTAAAAAAAAAAAAAAGCGAGTGAAGCCAAATGTAATAAGAACTAGATCTATATTACAGCGTGGTGCATGGCAATGTGCATGCGTTCGAGTCTTCTGCCTGTGTTGGGCTCGACACGTTCCGAGTCCCGACAGTCGTATGTGCCTAGTGGTCCCATCCGTGAAAGCACCTAAAGGCCCGTTCACACTCTTGCAACCGAGTACGACTGAGAGAGACCAGACCGGTTTTTAAGCCTCTTGCGACGTCTTAGGACCGGATGCGCTGCAGCGGAGCTGGTCCTAAGAGATCGCAGGAGGCTTAAAAACCGGTCTGGTCTATCTCGGTCGTGCTCGGTTGCAAGAGTGTGAATTGGCCTTAAGATCCTTGAGTCAACGCGAATTAGAAAAGGCTCATGGCCCTGCAAAGCACGCATGTATTTTGACATGTCCATCAACACGCCGTATGCAGAGCTGAGTTTTATGAGAAAAACAGCCGACGCACACGTACAGTGCTCAGCAAACTTATTTGGAACACATGCTAAGCCTACTCTTGGCTTGTTCTATTTTTTTTTTCTATGTGGGCGTCCATAGCTGGCGCTAGCCCTAAGTTCTTTTTTTTCTGTGTCCCAATATGTCCGTAGCATACCTTCAGTTCACATAGATATGCGCAGTTCTCTGATATTTTATCTTTTTTCTGCATTCAATATTCCACAAGTGTTCCGTATAAGTTTGACGAGCACTGTACAATTTCGGCATGCGCCGTCGTTTCGTTCTGAAGCGCCGTCTCGTCGACCTCTCCTACATCTTTCTCGCGACAACACGAGTAAGGATATACGACAAACGCGCGTCTGACTCACGCCCATGTGATGTAGGGGCGCAAGTGGCCAATAAAGTACATAAGACGGACATATGCAAATGTGTAGAGGGCAACCCTACCAACACCTCCTAGAAAACAAAGCCGTATCACGAGTGCTGCGTCGGCGTTTGGCTGAGGCTCGTGTTCTGAACGAGGGAAGACGAGTTCAAGGCTGTCACTTACGGAGCACACGTGCGCAGTCAGCGTCCAACGCTGGACTCCAGCAGACGACTTAAAAATTAATGCAGGACTATACTCGTTTTCACCTCAAGAATCGTAGTAAAAAAAGTCCGACTTCTCGCGGAGCATTACTAATTTTCCCCTTTATATAAAGAATTAACACATGTGTAAGTGCATTTTAGATCAGATATATGTTATCTTATCAAGACGTACGCGTTTCAAACTCCAAAAGTATCGCTTCTTCCTCTGACAAGCAAATATTGTAAGAACTACTTCGCGCGGCGTATGAACAATGCGCAAAACTTCCTTTTTTCTTGAGGTGAAAACGAGTATAGAGACACTACGCCCTTGACCTCTACGAGAGGTTGGACAACCCTTCTCCCTTCATTTGTGCCATATCCTCCCCACTCTCAGGAGGAAAGATGCCACGCCAGAAACGCCCGCGAAGTCCGTGTTAACTTTCCTTCGAGTGCAATTCCGTATTAGAAAAAATCTTTGGAGGACGCGTGGACCGCCTCGGGCCTGCCCGCGGGGCTCACCGTCCGGGAAGAGGGCTCTCATCTTGAGGTAGGAGGTGGTGAGCCGAATGACGGACGCCTTGTCCAGCTGGCTGGTGATGGCCGCCGGCAGAGGGAGCAGCTTGCCCAGCTCCACGAACTCGGCATTCTCCTTCTCGCGCCGTGACCGGGCAGCGTTCTTGGACTTTTCCTTCATCGCGGAAGGGCCGGCAGCAGGGACCGCCGCCGCAGGGAACTCGGGCTTGGCTGCCCCTGCGTGCACCGCACCCCTTCTGTTCGAGAAGACTCGCGCAAGGCGCGGGCACACCCAACACCACCTCGAATAATCGAAGCCTGTACACTAGAATTTTGACGTCCTCGCAGTGAATTCGAACAAAGACACAGATTGGGCGCGAGGGCTACGTCAGCGCTCGGCTGAGTCTCGTGTCCAATCAACGGGTCGAAGGGCGCACGGCAGTGGTCTCAGGTCCAATTACTGAGTAGATCCATCCGACTGTGATGGCGTTCAGTAAAAGAAAAAGGGAATGTTCACAGGCCTCGATTGCTCTAGCTAGTGCTAGCACAGCCATTGCCGGTTTGCGTGAAACATCTGCAACCTCGTATGTCTAAGGTCCTAGCCCCATTTGAGCGGCAGGCAGCAATAACCGACAGCGACCAACCTCAAGCACGTGCAACATGCACGCCAAGGTATCTGTGGTAGGCACGAAATCTCGTGGTGCCGGTGATGTAAGTGCGAGTTATTAGGCCGCAGTCACATTGCTTATGCATTCTACCATAGCCTCCTTTATACTAGAAAGCCTGTCAATTTCACGATGCAGCCATTAAGCGCCCGACCGCCGGAAAATCGCGAGGAGCAGCGCCGAGCAGTTACCGATGTGGTAGCGCAGAGCCACTTCTGCTGTGATCCCTAAGCCTATGATGATAATGCAATTAAACGCAAAGGTGCAAGCGGGCTGGACAAGAATGACGAAAATAATCCCTGGAGAAGGGGAACAAGGGGACAAAGGACAAACAAAAATCTGCAGACACAGCTAGGTGACTGGTGCGTGACCAAAACAATCCGCCTGGTCCCGGTGTCGAATCAGGGGCCTCTCCATTTCCAGTGGAACGCTCTACCAATTGAGCTAACCAGGAGTTAGACGTCAGTAGAGCAAACGGGTTTTATCAGCTGACACCAGTCTAACACAAACAACGGTAAACGGCTTGCCTTTTTAAGGTTATGATGATAATGCGATTAAATGCAAAGGTGGAAGCGGGCTCGACAATAATGACGAAAATTAAATGCCAAGACGCACCTCTTCGCGAAAACAACAAACCTTGACGGAGAAAAAAAGAAAAGAAAAGAAAGGAGCGACCAGCACATAGAGGAGTGGAAGGGGAGTGGAATAGTGGGGGGGTCGACGCAAAATTTTCTCCTTTCATGAAAACAAAATGAAGCGCGTTCGTGTTTCCGGATTTTACCGCTGGGGTATTATTTGGCGCTGCACGAGAGAACCCCTGCGCGCGCCCTCTTCTCTGATCTCCTTCCCCTCCACAGCGGCCACGCTATTTCGCGATTTGATAGGCTGTTTAAAATAAAGGGGGCTATGATTATACAAGCGACAAGGTGCCCACTGCGGATATGATGACAGAATTTTTCGCGGACACGCCTCAAGAATGTTTGAAGCATATTTGCTTCATACATATTGTTTAGTAACTCGATCCTGCCCTACCTCCCATATTTTTTTCTCTTATTCGTCCTTAATTTCTACTTCAACCTTTAGACGTTATACTCGTCCCCAACCCAGAGAGCTGTTTGTCTCGAATAGCCATGACCTAGTCCCTACAGGGGACGTATACCTTTAGCTGACTGGCATGAGTGGGAAACACTCGTTTACGCTTTCGTCAACAAAGCACCGAGAGTCCTTCCAGACGGTAGGTGGCAGGTCTAGGTGGTTTCTTGATCTGGAAATGTCGACAGTGCCGCGGCAGGAGTTCCCCGACAAGTCTGCCGTACACCAGCTCAAACGGTGCCTGTGGTGTTCAGTGTGAACGCAGCTGTACTGGCATATTTATTCCAGTCTCTAAGTGTGGTATTCTCAAAGGCTGAAGGCATACCGCCTTCGGGGCGATTCCTTCGTTCCACGAGTACATTTGTCTGGGGATGGTACGGGGTGCTGCTGCGTGTCCTGGTTCCGTAGTCCTGCAGCGCTTGCTCCTCCAGTTTAGACACAAACAACTTTCCTCGATCAGAAATTATGAGACGCGAAGATCCATGGCATAGCACAAATTTGTTAAAACACATGACGAGGTCGGTGGCTCCCGTGTTAAAGACTACTGCAACCTCCACCCACTCTGTTAGGTAGTAAGCTGCAACAATGATGTACTTGCTGACTGATGACGTCTTTGAACATGGACGGACGCGATCGATCCATATACCTTCGAACGAGGTGCCTGGAGGAGGAATTCAATGAAGCTCCAATTTCATAGGATGCAGTGATGTTTTTCGCATCTGACGCGTTGTGCAAGAGGGGACCTAATGTTGAACATTTTCTTTAACATGAGGCCATCAAAACCTCCTTGCGATCTTTTCTAATGTTTAATGCTGTCCCAGATGACCCGCTGTTAGGGCGTCGTGGCACATGACAATAATGCCGCGACATAAAGCTTTGGGCACAACATACAGCCACGAATCTGACCGTCGTGACCGACGGTATAGGATTCCGTCACGTAACTGAAAGTGCGCTTGTAGATTCCGTAGGATTTGTCTGTTCAGCGGAGATAAGTCATTTTCTGCGCTTCTGAGATTATCGATTATACTCGATGCCTCCACTTTCGCTGACTGTTCTGCCAGCAAGTCATGAAGGGTTAACACTGAAACCGCGCGAGCGTCACCTACTGGATTGCGTGAAAGGCAATCGGCGCCTTGATGGCAATTCTCGATTCGATGAAAAATTAAAAAAAAAAAATCGTAATTTTGAAGTTTCATGACCCATCGAGCAAGTTTCTGTATGAGGTCACTCTTGGAGTGGAGCTACTGGGAGGCAGAGTTGTCTGTGACCACTGTAAATGCTTTGCCGTACAGGTAAGGTCGAAACTTTTCAACAGCCCACACCCCCTGGAGGTATTCCAATTCGAAAGTGTGGCACCGGCCGTCAGGTTCACTTAGCTTCCTGCTTGCGTAAGAAACGGGACGTTCGCTACCATCCTTGCCTCGTTGTAAAAGAACAGCACCTAGCCCTTCTCCAGGGGCATCTGTGCAGAGGAAGGTAGGTGCGTCGTCCACAAAATATGAGCGTTGGTAGAGGTGTGGGGGACTACGTATGACTCGCCGCCGACGGTTTCTACGCAATAAGTGTGCTAGACTAATTGGGAATTTCCGCTGACGGTCGCCTGCGTTCTAAGTATTCTGGAATAAGAATGATATGCCCCTGGCGGTCGTCGACGGACTAATTATGGTGGACTAAGTACGGATCACAAACAACAGTCGTCAGCGGACTAAGTGTGAATCACTACCCACGGTCGAGTGTGGCTTAAGTATGCTGGACAATGTGAGACTTGCCACCGACGGTCGCCTTTGGACTACGTGCTCTTGAGTAAAATTATGGAAAGTTGGGCGAGTTGACGGTACATCTTCAATGGAAAAATAAAAACAGCGCCAAAAAAGCGGAGGACACGACGAAGTGTACAACAGAGCGCTAGAACTTGCAATTTCGGCGCTGTTTGATTGGGTCGTCGTTTCCTTGCATTGGCCTCGCTAAGACGTTTCCTATCTTATGGAATGACTTTCAGGTTCCCCGATGTCAGTTGTGCCGCCATTGTGCTACATTGCCAAGGCGAGCGCAACGTGCACAGAGCTCTAGCCTCGCGCTGTGTGAAAGTACTTGACTTTGTATTGAGTTTCATTCGCACACGCTCGAGTAACTAACTTTGGCAGAGTTTAACTACTGTGGAAGCTCCGCTAGCCTAGGTGACGTAGCACAAAATAGTTACACGCCGAGAATACGTCTGAAAATCAATTGTTCAAACGTTTCTTATCGACGGGCGCGTACACAATGATAAGGCGGGCTCTCTTTACCGCCGAGAGCGGTTTCGAGACAAATATCATGCCCTTCGGCGCCATGTGCTTTGACAGAGTTGGAGTACTGCGGATGGTAGGCCAGTCTAGGCCAGCCTAGGCCAGCCTAGGCCAGCCTAGGCCAGCCTTTACAATGTAGCACAAGGCAGTTGACACCGAGTGTAGTATCACTCGCCGCGGATAGTCGCGTGCTAACGAAATCGACCTATGTCTTCGGCAATGCATAGTTAAGGCCGACTCACACACTAGCGTTGAGTCCGACCGAGTGCGAGGGTCGCTATGGCAACATCTACGTCCGCTCCAACAAAACCGGTTTTTACCTCGTTTGTCAGGCAGCTGCTGCCTAGCAACCCTCGCACTTTGTCAAACTCAACGCAGATGTTTCAGCCGTTTTTCAGTCCAACGGCTCGCACGATCCGTAGTTCGGTTCTCGCTGGGCTCCTTGGTGAATCTCTCTGGCTTCGATTATCTGTGCCTAGTAATTATTAGGTATAAATGATTATGCCTTGCCTGCTGCGGGGTGTGCACCCCTCATGTTGTCTTCCCCTGCGTGTAACGCTTTCTCGTCAAATTTGAGTGTTACACGTTTTCATAAAATCCAGCCCATAAAGCAATTCCGTGTTAAAAACAAAATCGCAAGCAACACGAAAACACGGTACGTGACCTGGAACGATTTCTTGCTGATGTCATTGCATTTTTGTAGAAAGGCAAATATGGAAATCTGAAAGTCCGCTGCACGCTGGAAAGAAGAACTCTGGTGAAAAATCTCGTCTCTTCCAGTCGACAAGATCCTATTCTAAACGGGAGGGTGGCTTCCGCTGAGAATCTACGCTACGTCAGTTCGACTGCGTAACGAGAGCGGCAGGAACCTTCGCGTTACCGATGTCCGGGGCAAGCGTGACTCCGCATAGCGACCTGCTGATTTGGACAATGTCCGAGTGTGTCGTGCAACCACGCGGTGTTATGGGCAGCTTGCGTTGTGTCTTGTTTCTGGGTAAACCCTGTTGCCGTTTTTCTTTATTTGAAGTCAATGTACTGCACTGTGCGATCGAAAGACGGTGCGAGAAAGCTGCGCCACGTACCCCTCCGTGACTATCAACCCTATAGTATTTCACACTGTTGATAACACAAAGTGCAAACAAAAACTAAAAAAACAAAACAAAAAACCGTAAAATTTTTTTGTTGTTATTCTTAC